TATGATGCTAAGAATGATTGTTTTATTAATATGTTTGTTGAAGAAACTTACAGAATATAAAAAATCTGATGTATGTAAATAAGTAGAACAGCGACTTATCGAACAAATACTTGTTTCTAATAATCAAATGATTATTCAACGGCATTTGTGAAATTAATTTGTCTTTTAAATAGGTTGGTTTAGAGGTTATCGTAATTTTTGTATACATGTTAAAGTTCTGTATTCACACAATTGTTGAATATAAAGCCAATTTATGTTTAAAAGTATTGATATATTATGGTTATATTTTCTCAAATTGTAAACTAACCTGCAACGGTTACCCGACAAATACGCTACGACAAAAGCGCCCCGACAAATGCGCTCCCCGACATATGCGCACAACAAAAATTATTTGATTATTTTCATTGAGATTGGTAAATAGTTTACAAAACTGACACATTATATTTAATTTATTTGTCATAGCTTTTAGTCCATCGTTCTGTAATTTAAAACTTAAGTGAACATCCGACTTGCATTCTTTATTTAAGTAAGCAAAAGTTAATCTATTTCATGACTTAATTTTTTTATAACATCGACCGGTACTGGTTCTGTTTCAATATGTATATTCACTCCTTCTTCTGCTTTTGTCATATATACTTATTTTATAGTTATTATTAAAGAATAGTTATTTCTCAAATATTTGTGTTTCTGTTCTACCCATATCCTTCAATAGGTTATAGGCCCAAATAAATGTAAATTGTGTTTTTGTTATTAAGACTTTGTTGGAAACAATAGTAAACATTATAAAGTCGTGGTTAGTCCTTAATGCGTGAAAATAGAGAACAATAAAAAGATACGACGTAATATTACCTCATTTAATGGAACTAATTATTCTACATATATGGAAATTTCGCATCAAAGCAACTTCGGTTGCATGGGTTCCTCTCTATTTGTCAACATCATCTGTCAACATTAGTTCAATGTCTTATGTCTACTAAAAACAAGTGAAGCTTGTCACCTGTCACACCACGCAGACGAAGATCTATATTTTCCGAAAATCATTTTTTATTTGAAAAATTGTTAGTTCAATAAATTAAAGGGTTTGCTAGAGTTTCGTAACCATTATCAGCCCATTTGTCATGTATTACAATATTTGTAAATTCATTATCTTTTAATTGACTGTTAATATATAAGACCCTGTAGGAATACCTTGATAATGGCTTTATAAGTCGAATATTAAATAAAAAACTTGTTACAAAACAAAGTACTCATTCCACTCTTAATCATAATTATGTCATTTTGTTCTTCCACTCAATATAAAAATAAAATGATTTATTTTATGATAGAAAAAAGTCATTTTTGGTTTTTATAGAAAAGTTTAAAATGAAGTCTCTTGAATTTATTGCCAAGAACTAATATTTTAAATTTTAGTGGATTTAGTAGAACATTACTATTATTTGGGTCATTTGAGTAGTTTCAATATAAAAATCATGGTATAACCCAGTAGCCATTGCGAAAAGTAAGCTTAACAATATTTAGTTATTTATATACCTAAAAATAGGGGTCCTAATATCAAACCTTGCGGTACTTCCGATACCATTTCATTAGCATTGGATTGTTGGTTGTTAACATTTACTATCTGACGACGATTAATCAGATATAATTAAATGAATTTGCATGCTGTTGTACCAAAGCCATAATAGTAACATTTTAAAATCCAATAATGCTGATGATAAGGCCGAAACTCGTACTGAGTGAATACTATTGTACTCGGGATTAAGTTTTATTAAGAAGTAATGGTTGTTTATTTTTGCATACAAAAATATATAAAACACTTTAAACAAATGAAAAGACAAAAAGTAAATAAAAAAAAATTCAAGGATATAAATACAATAGATATGAGTCAAGGCCATGTCAAAGAAGACCACACAAGGTGCCATATATAAAGGTTTAGGTCCGCGATTTGTGGTCAGCAGCATGTGATGTTTAATGTAAGCAATATGTAATTTTACAATAATTTTAATTATGTAACTTACGAAGATAATGACTTCGCTTCTGTAGAAACTGATGATTTCGTGGTAGCAAAGTATTGTACAAAGAAGAAGATAGTTCATTACGTAGGCATAGTAGAGGAGAAAATAACGGAATCAGAGTTAAACGTCACTTTTTTATGAAAGAAACTAGCATCAGATAGTTTTTTATCCTACTGTCCCTGTCGTGAGCATGGTATATTTCTATCATTTCTACGTTTTGGGAAATCAGGTCAACTCAAGGTTAACTGAAGACAAATTACATGTCTAAGCTAAACATAGTAGATAATTTAAAGAATGAAGTTCTCTGATTTCTTCTTTTTATAAATAAATATAATTTTAAGACTTTTTCGTTGATGTATTAGTTTCAATAAATAGTAATTTAAGAAGCAAAGGAATAGAGAAAATTTCAAAGTACGCATTATAGAAAAGTCCAGAAACCCTTTTTTTTCCTTAAATAGTAATTCCATTTAATAAATACAGGGTGTCTGTAAAAGGTCTTTACAAAAACATACCACATATTCCTTAGACCAAAATAAGTCGACTTAAGTAAAATTACCTTAGTACAAAGTTGCTTCGTTTGGGCTCCAGAGGGCCTTGAAGTTACAATTTTTAAATCGTTTTTCCCATATAAATTTAAAACGACATATGCGATTTTGCTGAAATTTGTTATATTGGTAGAGTTTTATGTGGCAAAAAAATGGTATTAAAATTTTGTCCGATAATAATACATAGGTGTAGAACTTGATTTTTTAAATAATTGCACCTTTAAAAATTCTACGCCAATGAAAGAAAAGGAGTTTGAGTATGAAATTTAGATTGCGCAACTCATTTACTTTAAAAAAGGTACTCTTGATAAGACTCGATTACTCTCATGGTTTTGACGAAATTTGCATTTTAGTAATTTTAGAACATAAATTATAATTATTAAAACACAAACTTTGTCAAAACCATGAGAGTAAATCGAGTGTTATCAAGGGTACTTTTTTGTAGTAAATGAGTACCCAATCCAAATTTCATACTCAAACCCCTTTTCTGCCATTGGCGTAGAGTGCAATTATTTAAAAAATCAAGTTCTACGCCTATGTATTATTGTCGAACAAAATTTTATACGATGAAAAACATAAAAATGTACTTTTTTCATATCTTCTTCAACACCTCTAATCGAGACATTTAACAAAAATACTCGATTCTTGCCATGTACGATTTTTTGAGGAATATTAATTATTTGCCTGCAATACGTATACAAAAACATTTATTGTTGGTTTCCATAGTTTCATCTAAACAAAAATATTGTCAAGTTTTAACACATAATCTCTTGTTAACGATTGAAAGTGTTCTATCTGACTCAATAATTAAAAAAACAAATGCGTGGTTTATTAATATGGCTGTACAATATACCAATGCAGAATATACCGATATGTTACTGACATTAGAATTTTGTGAAGGAAATACTCGAGAGAGTGTCAGGGTGTACTCTGAAAGGTTTCCAAATCGTCGTGTACCTAGCCACCCAACTTTTGCTGCTGTTGAGAGACGTCTTCGGGAGACCGGTTCCTTTGCTCCCAATACTGTTAATAATGGAAGAGAACGTTTTGTAAGGATTCCTGAAGTTCAAGAAGACTTTTTAGAACGTGTTGAAGAAGATCCAGAATTAAGCACCAGACGAATTGGAAGGGAACTAGGAGTAAGTAAAGATGTCGTTCATAAAGTGCTTAGAGAACAATTGCTATATCCATACCATAAGAATCCAGTACAAGAATTATTAGTCCATGATCCTCAAATTCGTTTGGGTTTTTGTCGATTTGTTAATATCCAAAGAGAAAGAGATCCAAACTTTGTCAAGAAGGTTCTCTTTACCGATGAAGCGGGTTTTACAAGAAGAGGTATAACTAATACCCATAATGAACATGTTTATGCCGTTAAAAATCCGCATGTAATAAAGGTAAACCATTTTCAGCACGAATTCAAAATTAATGTGTGGGCTGGAATAATTGGTAATTTCATTGTTGGTCCTATCATACTTCCACGAAGATTAACTGGAGAAAATTATTTGGATTTTCTACAAAATACGTTGCTAGAATTGTTAGAAGATTTACCTCTCCAACTTCGGAGAGATATGTGGTTTATGCAAGATGGAGCTCCACCACATTTTTCTTTAAACGTTAGAAACCACTTGAATGAACAATATCCACACAAATGGATAGGCAGAGGTAATGACACACCTGTAAACTGGCCACCACGTTCCCCAGACCCAACACCGAAACACCGATGGATTACTTTTTATGGGGACATCTGAAATCTACAGTTTACAGGGAACCTGTAGAAAATGAGGAACAACTCTGGCAACGTATTCAAGATGCAATAAACAATCTTAGAGGTGATGAAGAAGTTATGTAAAGGATACATTTTAATTTTCTTCGACGTATAAATCTTTGTATGCGTGAAAATGGTGAACATTTTGAACAATTTTTGTAAATAAACATTTTTGTGAAACCTATACACTCTAAATTATTAAAACAGAAATTTAGCGAAAACCATGAGAGTAATCGAGTCTTATCAAGAGTACCTTTTTTAAAGTAAATGAGTTGCGCAATCTAAATTTCATACTCAAACTCCTTTTCTTACATTGGCGTAGAATTTTTAAAGGTGTAATTATTTAAAAAATCAAGTTCTACGCCTATGTATTATCGGACAAAATTTTAATACTGTTTTTTTTGCCACATAAAACTCTACCAATATACCAAATTTCAGCAAAATCGCCTATGCCGTTTTAAATTTATATGGGAAAAAAAATTTAAAAATTGTAACTTCAAGGCCCTCTGGAGCCCAAACGAAGCAACTTTGTACTAAGGTAATTTTACTTAAATCGACCTATTTTGGTCTAAGGAATATGTGGTTAGTTTTTGTAAAGACCTTTTACAGACACCCTGTATATTCTATCCACATCCATTTTTAATCTTAAATGTTTCCCAAAGCTACCTAGCAGTCATTACAAGTTTCGAACTACTGAATTAAATATTTTAACGATAAAACTATTTCCTGAATCCGATTCTGTTCATAAACTTTAATTTAATTTTGATTAGATGAATTTAAGTAGTTGCAATATGCGTTCTATGAAAGCTATTGTAATTATTTTACTAATAGAACTTTGAAACTATTAATGTTTTTGTGCAGTTTGTAAAATGTTGTTGACCCAGAATATCATACTAGATTTATTGGGAATTTTTGCCGCCCTACTGGTAATTCTTACAGCAAATCACATATGGACACTTGGATATTGGAAAAGAAGAGGAGTTCCTGGTCCAGGAGGCATATTCCTCTTTGGAAGCATGAAGGACTTTTTTTTGTCCAAAAAGACCATGGGAGATTGTTTCAAGGACTTATACAGTGAATATAAATCTAAAGGTTAGTGTTAAATTACAATAGTATTTAAATTTAATAAAGTTTAATATTTCAGATAAATAAAACATAAATGTATTTTATTATACTTGAGATTCGTCTTTTTTATGTAAGTTTTAAACATTATGTTGAGAATATAATTTCTGTGTCACGTAGTGTGGTTTAGACTAATCGTTTAGTCTAAACGGTTTAATAATAAAGTTGTATATTATCTATCACTCGTAAAAATTGGCCAAGATGTTTTAGAAAGAAAGTTTAAAATTTAAAATCTTTGGCTACCACAACCAATACTCTTTTGTTCCATTTATAAACAAATTAATCAAAATGGTAAATCGTGCCCTCATTGTGATATTAAATAAACTTCGAATTAATCTAGTTTCAAAACTATTTACTATCGTACCAATAAAAACTCCCAAGCCGGATATTTTAGTAAATAATAGAGACATTTTAATTCTGTGAAAGCCAGTTCATAGTGCACTAAGAGAGCTTCAGTTTTAGATATAAATTACTTTTAAATAGATCAATAGGGGCGCTGCCCTCAATATATTTTTTTTTTTCGATGGAAGAAACTAATTGGATAAATCTAGCCATTTTCGGTATACACAGTAAGCTACTCAAAACAGTATCACCCTGTTATTTAGCATAATTTTAAGAAAAGGCTAAAATAGTTCGATTTTAATTCCAAATCAAACACATTTTGACAATACAGACATCTATCATGTGTCAACTCCCTTCCACTTCTCCAACCCCATAATTTTATATAAGGAATTTACCATGTGCGGCACAACATTGAAAAGGTAATTTTATGGGGAAATCAGAAATATGACTATTTATTGCGATACCCTTAATTTTAGCACCTTCTATCAGGAGAAAAAAATGTAACGTATTGTAAAGTGTGACACTTCATTTTAAAGCTACATTACATTAATACAAATATTTCTACATTGCACTTGCAACAAAATAAAGTTAGTAATAATGTTTAAAATAATGAATAACTAATTTTCAATTTATTGCAAATGAAATATGGAGGATATTTATATTAATGTTATATGGCGTATTGAATAAGTAATTAAATTTGTTTTCAAATAAGGTGTCAAACTTTCTAATACGTTACCGTTTTTTATCCCGATAGAGGGCGGTACAGGGTTATTCATTATAAATTACCCACCTCCTATAATTGTTTTTATTGCCTATAGAAATTTTTCTATAAAAGTTGTGGTTATGACCGAATTTTGTTAAAATGCTATTAAAAATACAGTAGCGTGCAGATTTTAGGAGAAAAATATTTTTTTTGGGATACCCTGTATATTGTTACGTTTAATTTATTTATAGTTTATTTATTTAAAACATACTATTTACAATTTATTTATGACGTATCTATTAATTTATATAATACTTGGGCACTATTCAAATTTATTTATTACCATTTATCTTCTTTGTCCAACACTTAAATGTAATCCTTCCATCCGTCGACCACTTACGCTAATTATATAAAGCCCAACTCTGTGTGATAATATTCTTTGGCTTTCCTCAATAACGAGAACTTCCTCTCTATGATTCATATGCCGCAAGGGGATCACTCCGGTAGTTTATTGAAGATTTAGCGTCATACCTAGAAAATTCCGGGGTTCGACCATAAGTCGTATAGTAGACTTGAAGATCGCACTCTACAGAGAAGGCTTAGACATTCCCATGACAATATGATTTTATTTTTGGAATGATACTTTCTTTCTAAGTTCAAAAATATATGTTAGCTCCACCGTATGCCGGTTGTGATGTAATAAACATCAAATATCTTAGTTAAACTTACCCACCCCCTTATCACCGTTACTTTTATTGCTACTGTGCTTTTGATAGCACACAACTTTTATTCAAAACTTTTTTCTCTAGGCAATAATAACGATAATAAAGGGTGGGTAAGTTTACCTAAGATATTTGACGTTTATTACTTCACAAACGGCATACGGTGGGGGTTACTTATATATTTCTTAAATCAGAAAGAAAGGATAAATTTGCACGCTACTGTATTTTTGAAAGCATTTTAACAAAATTCAGTCATAACCACACAACATTAATTTAAAACTTTTTTTCTATAGGCAATAATAACGATGATAAGGGGTAAGAAATTTATCATGAATAACCCTGTACAATTAAAAGTATCGCAATTAACAGATATATTTCTAAATTCCCCATAAAAATACCTGTATACTAATGTACTACACATGGTAGTGTCACACTTTATAATACGTATGATACGTGTTTTATCTCGCTAGAGGGCGCTAAAATTTAAGTAACGCAACAATCAGACATTTTTCTAAATCCCACATTAAATTACCTTCTCAATGATGTGCCATGCATGGTACATTACCTATTTAAAATTAAGGTGTTGGAAGAGAGCAAGGGAGGGGGTTGACACATGACAGATGTCTGTATTGTAAAAATGTGTTTATTTTAAAAAAAATCAGCCCGTTTTAACATTTTCATAAAATCCAATTATTAATGCCGAAAAACACTCTGTACATCAAAAATGGCTAGATTTATCGAAATATTTCATAATACAAAATATGCTAAAAAATGCATTTTTTACAAGATGCACTACAGACGAAAGATCCTCCATTGAAAAAAAAAATTATTAAGCGTAACACCATTTACATATTGGCCTATTTAAAATTAATTTATATCTAAGACTGTAGTTCTCTTAGTGCTCTGTGAACTGGCTTTTACAGAATTAAAATATCTCTATTTGTTACCAAAATATCTGGCCTGGGAGTTTTTATTGGTACATCCTGTATAATAGGTACTTATGTATAACCCATATCCTACTTTTGGCAATTGTGGCAACCGACATTCAAATGTAAGTTTTGTTACTCCTTTTTTAAAATTACAACCTGAAAAATGTTATGTGCCTTAAAAATCTAAAGAACAAAATTACTAGATATCAGAAGCGATCCTGGTAACCGTTTTCTTCGTTTCACCATTTCAGGAATCTGCTCCTCTTAAGAGGAGCAACTTTTTGAAAAGTCCGGAACATGATTTTTTTTTGTAAAAAAGTGTTTTTGTTTATATTATAGACAAAAAAGTTGTAAAAATGCTGCAAACCGATGACGTAACTCATACATGTTTTTGAAACAACTGCACGGAAATATATATTTTTTTTTTGTAAAAATATCAAAATCACTTTTTATTTTCTTCTAATTTTGTTAAAAAAAAATGCAAAGTTTTAAAAATTGGTTACAAAATTATTATTTTTCTTAACAATCTCTGGCAAGGCCCGGAACCTTGAAAAATTAAGGAAATTCAAGGATTCGTACTATGGGAGATTTAATTTAATTTTGATATATAGAAATTAAAAAAAAAATGCTCAATATAAAGATGCATGCGGGATATTAGAAGTGCGGATATATAAAAGTTATAACTAAAGGGGGAGCCTAAATACAAAACTAATTCCGAGAATAAAATAATATTTATCATTATTTAAACGATTGCATGCATGACCTTGAAAATGGAATTTGTAACAACTAACAAACACGCAAAATCTGTACATACATTTTCAAAGTGATCCTGCACGGTCACAAAAATGTCTCTAAAGTTTAACGAAAAGTTCGATCTTGTCCCACTTATGCCAAATTTCAACTTGAAGCTGCTTGTTACAAAGGCCAATGTAGATGAACCAAATATTTTTTTCTTAACGACCTAGGTATTTTAATAATTTATAAATGACGGACGAATCATGCAATCCGAGTTTAATAAAATATTTCTTGACGTAACTTTAATAAGAAATGCCTATTGAGTATTTTAACATATTTAATGCAGATATCGTAATAAATAGTTTAGATTTACAAGATGTTAAAATAAAATTTAATTTAAGGACTGGTGCTCATGAACGTTTGTTGCAGTCGCGTCGACGCAACGGCATATATAGGGAGGTGTCGAAATACATTTAATCGAGTCAGAGGGTTTACACGATGCAACGTCGACGTTACGTCAACGTCATGGAATGTCGTTAATGTGACCACAAAAATACCACCGCTCGGTACCTTCTCGACGTCACGTCTTAGTTTGTTGGCGTTGCAAATATATATTAGTTTGTATCAAGAACTACACATGAAAGGTAGTAGAAAAACGTAATAGCTAGGGGCGATGAGACATTCGACACAGAAACATCTCTAAATAATCTTGTTTTATTTAAGCATTGCATTCAATTCAGCAATGAGCATATAATCATACGAATATAATTAAAAAAAATTACATTGGTCATTATTTCTTGAGTCAAAAAGCTTAATATGAAAGCAGCCTTTAATCTTTAGTAAACAGGAACTTTAGTAGGGATATACCCAGTATTCACTCAACTTCCTCCCAAACTGTTTGTTAACAAGATATAGGTACAAATATTATTTTTTTTTTAACTCACATTCATCTTTTCTGTTCTTAAGACGAATTTACTCTGCCTTATTTTGGGACATTTGAGTTAAGATTTGTGAGCATCGACCCTAAGGTATCCGGACAATTGCCCGAAAACAATTTCCCGAAAGACAATTCCCCGAAGACAGTTGCTCGAATAGGCAATTGCCCGAATGGACAATTTCCCGATACAAAATTGATCGAATGGACAATTGACCGAATAGACAATTTCCCGAAGAACAATTGCCCGAAAGGAGAATTAATCGAAAAATGTATTTTAGCGCAACTTTATAAAGTCATTATTTAATTCATATAAATACTGCACTAAAAGTTTCTATTGCTTTATTTTCCAAACTCTGAGCAAGAGTCACGACGCAAAATGGCTTTGAAATTTGTACTTAGTGAAAAAGGGAAGAGTAAATTATTGAGCGATGGATATCTTTACCAGAAAGATAAAGAAAATCAAAACATTTATTGGAAATGTGATTACTACAAGAAGTTCAAGTGTAAAGCTCGTGTTACATCCTTACAACATGCAGTAGTAAAAAGAAGTGGGACACACAATCATGTTCGGATGCAAGGCAAGTGGAAAAAACAAAATTTCT